TCTCTCTCTCTCTCTCTCTCTCTCTCTCTCTCTCTCTCTCTCTCTCTCACACACACACACACACACACACACACACACACACACACACTGAGCACATAAAACATTGAAAAAAGCCTTTGCATATGTATTAAGAACAAAGGAAGTAGCGACCCTTTAGTGGTCCTTCTTTTCCAAGGTTCAAGTTCTACTTTACAGGGATAAGGTGTTTAATGTTACTATGTGAAGAAACACGTTTTGTGCCTGTATCATCATCAATTCCTTTGCTGATAATAAAGATGGCTGCAACTGGGAGAGACGATGCCTTTGACACACACCCTTCCAAAATGAGCAATACCTTTGTCTTGGCCAGGAGGATTGTCTAATAAATGATACTTCCAAGTCACTTATTTAATCAGCCTCCCCTTTCCCCTGCATTCGGCCTACATCTGCACACTCAGTAAATCTTGCCCGAATAATCATTTCTTCAGGCCAGGGGCAGTGCTTCAGTACCCACAGCTATAAGGTGTTACGGTACGTTCTTATTGCGTGTGTATAACAACTACTTATGCAGTTATTGGAGGACACACGACGGCAGCCACCCACAGACTGGACCAGCCGCTTACTATCTGGGATCTACCCCTCGCCCTCCAGTGCAAAGAGAGACAGAGACTGCTCCTCCCAACCCTAGGCCTACCTTGCGTTTCCTCTTGGATTTTGGCAAAGTCTTTTCAGCAGGTGTGTCTAATGCATGGCTGGCTGGGGCACTATCAGCGTCCTTGGCTGCAGGAGCACTCAAGACCCCAGGATCCCGGGACAGGTGTTCTGGGATCCTGGACAGGAGGGTCAGGTCAATTTTGACCCAGAGAGACCTGACCTCATCGCTGTCCTTCAGTGGAGAAAGTAGTTCGTTCCTGCCAAAGGGGACCAGGGTGTAGAACTGTTCCTCTAGCTCCTTGGCAATGTCACTGGTGGTCCTGGCGTTGATGGAGCCCACAGAAGCCCGGGAGGTGCTGTTGCTACTGCTGCTGGTGGCCTCCTTCAGCCGCTGCTCGCTCCCAGTGGTGGTCGGAGCCTTGGACAGGACATACTCCTCTTGCTCTGACTCCAGGTCTGAGTCCGAGGAGGAAGAGGAAGACGAAGATTCTGTTTCAATAAACTCCTTGGATTTAGGGACGATTCTGCTCAGCCCCCGAGTGCGCCGCTTCTCACAGGTCACGGAGGAGCGCAGGTCCTTGCGGTGGCCTGTCCTGCTGTTACCGCAGGGCCTGGTTTTGGGGGGCTCTAGGGGTCCCACCACGCTCGCCCCCAGCGTGTCTGGGGCCACTGGCTCCTCCGGCCGGTGGCAGTTGGCACCTTCCCCTGCTGAGGTCCTCTCGGTGCGCCGGGTGGGCTTCTTGCCTGCTGACCTGCGGGTGGGCGCGGGCGCGCTCTCCGTGGGTGCGCTGGGCACCGCAGGCGGCGGTGCAGCTGCGGTCACAGCCACCGCAGCGGGTGGGGACTTTTGCTTTACACTTTTGCTACCAGGGGCCTTGTTTGCGGTCCTCGGTCGCTGCTCCTCCTTGCAGGCGGTCTTGAGCTCCTTGTCCCTCAGGCTGGCTTGGCAGATCTCGGGAAGTTTCCCGCAGTCTTGTCCTTCATCTTTCACCGGCGTGTAGTATTGATTCCTTTCCGGGCCGTGGCTTTCATTTTGGATCAGAATTGGCGGCTTGTGAGGATTAACTTTGTTTAGCCATTTATCCAGCTGCCACTTGTTAGAGGACGCAGGTTCGGCCTGAAAACAGAAAACCCGGGACAAACAACACAGCTTTTGTAACAGGCTCACTTGAAAGGTGCCCTGGCTGTTTTGATCTTGGCATTCTCTGCTAAGCAAAAGAAAATTGAATGGGCTGGCAACAAACAAAATGGAAACGCAGGTATGTGGGGCAGTGCTCTGCTGGTACAGAGGAAGCCCAGCTGGCTCCTGGCTTCTCCGTATCCACGAAGCAGTTTCAACTACACTTAATAAAACTACAGAAAAGCACCAAACCTCCCCAGCTCACCCCTAGGACTTCTAAGTATTAAACAGTTATGTGTATACAGATATATCAGCCCATGTATATTTGCATGTATGCACCCAAAACTGAGATTACATCTGAGATTCTATGAACTTAACTGGAAGGTCCTGAACATTAAAATGTCTTCCTCCCTCCCTCCCTCCCTCCCTCCCTCCCTCCCTCCCTCCCTCTCTTTCTTTTGCGCTCTCTCTTTTTCTCTTTCTTCCTTTCATCATCATCATCATCATCATCTTGACTTGTCACCTTTGGGAAAATCTTTGAACCCTGAACCCAGGCCCACTCCCTCATTAGTATACAATTTATGCAGAGAAGCAAGTAAGTCCGGATATTATACGACAAAAGCAGCAATATTGAAAAAGGTGCCCTGTGTGCCTTGTAAGCCCTGGCAGACTGAGTCCACCCCCACCCTGCTTCTGCCAGCTCTGCCATGCTCTGATAGGACTGTCTGGACACAGGAGACTTAGAAACCGTTCCTGGAGGCAGTTTTTCTAACTTAGAGCAAACCATGGGTGTCACAGTTTTAAAACTCCGACCTACAGATCAGCTCATGTAGAGAGTGAACGGAATTCTCAGGAACAGAATAGGAAAGGCTGAGTTGACACCCGTCTTCTAAGAGGTTTACAGTTTTGAGCTGCGTCTGTAAGGATTTGTGTTCCAAACAGGTTAAAAATAAAGACTTCACAGAGAATGTTGGTTTCTAATAAAAGCCCACTTTTGTAATGCTAGGATTTAATTAAATAAATAGAAATGGTGCCTTTTGAGAGGCATGGAACTTCACATAGCTTTCCAATCTGTGGCTCAGAATGACATGGGTCAAACGTTTGAAGAATCACAGTAATTATTTTCTTAATGTTTCTGTCTGGTCTCTTTTCTCTGAATCCGTGGCATTCACTACTTTATGGACCAGACAGGAGCACAGACTAGAAGTTCTCTGCCTTCCTAATGCTGTGACCCTTTAATGCAGTTCCTCATGTTGTGCTGACTCCAACCACACTATTATTTTCATTGCTACTTCATAACTGTAATTTTGCTACTGTTATGGATTGCAATGTAAATGTATGTGTTTTCTGATGGTCTTAGGCGACCCCTGGGAAAGGGTCATTTCATCTCCAAAGGGGTTATGAGCCACAGGCTGAGAACTACTGGCCTAGAAAAAGTTTGTCTGTCTGAGTCAGGCCTATCACCTACTTATCTACCTACCTTACTCATTATTGATCTCCTATCTACCTATTATCTATCTATAATCAATCAATCAACCTATTTACCCACCTACCTACCCTACTCATCATTTATTGCCTATCTATCTATCTATCTATCTATCTATCTATCATCAATCAATCTACTTACCCACCTACATATCTACCTACCCTACTCATCTGTATCTCCTGTCTGTCTGTCTGTCTGTCTGTGTCTACCTATCTATCACTTACCTGTCACTAATCTGTTAATCATTTATCACTGAGATGGTGCACTGGGCCTTACACTCACCAGCAACACCCCCGATCTCTACTTCCGGCCTCTTAGCTTTGTGTTTCAAACTTTTCAGTCAAAAGCCTAGAGGCAGAATCAGTCAGGTTCTTCTCTGTGAGACAAAGACGTTTCTATTATAACCTCCTTCATATCAAGATTTATTTTCTCATAATGAGGTGCACGTGGACGGCAGAGCTGGGGCCCTGGCTGTAGTTACAGACCTAAGTGGTTGAGGGGAGAGCTGTGACCGAGACACTAGGATGCTAGACAGGCCCACGGCGGTGAGGGCACAAGGCTCAGGGAGGTGGGAAGCCTCTGATAATATCAGGGGGTGGAGTGAACATGTCATCGACCACAGCTGTGGTGGGGGGCAGGGACACCCTGCTGGTCAATTTTAGCAGCTGACATCAGTCAGCCGGGTCTCCCTTATTCCAAATGCCAGGAGTTCTTTGGGTTTTATGTTATTTTTGTATTTTGGAATATTTGTATATAATTATGAAATCATTTAGAGGTGGAACCTAAGAATAAATGTAGAATCATTACCCTTCAAAATATCTGTGTGTGTGTGCTCATGGGTATGTGTGTGCATGCATGTGTGTGCTCATGCGTATACATGCCTAAGCGTGTTTGTATACATACCACAGCATGCATGTGGACATCAGAGACCACCTCAGGTGTCAGTAACCGTCTTCTACCTTATTTGACACAGGTTCTCTGCCCATGGCTAGCTGGCTTGCACCTTCCTCCAATGGATTTTTCCTGTGAATTTTCCTGTGTCTGCTTCCCATCTTACTGAAGAAAGCCTAGGCTTGCAGACATGAGTTACCATGCCTGGCTTTCTGTGACTCTGGTTCTCAGCTCCTTACCTACCTTCCTGCAGCAAACACTTCACTTGCAGAACTGTCCCCGCCCTTTGGTGGTACTTTTGTGCAGCTTTAATGTGTACATGCAACCGAGGGCTCTGCTGTGGGGTTTTCCACAAGTGGTCTCATGGTAGCGGTTAGTAGGTTGCAGATTTTAGAGCATCTGGATTCGGGTACTCAAGCTATTACCTTCCTGTTACTTCTGAGTGTTTATGTGATCTTCTCTTTGTTTTTGTGGCTTCTCAAGAGAAAGGGAAGCAGAGGATGCCTGGATTAGGCTGCAACGGCAGCAAATGGGACGACAGGACCAGAACAACTTCTTGCCAAGGGACAGAATCTAGTTGGCCTTGAACTTAGTAAATAGCCTTGAACTTAGGATCCTCTTTTTTCCACCTCCCAAGGACTAGGGTTCCAAGTGAGCGCTACTATATATACCTGGTTTATAGAGTCTTGGGAATTGAACCCAGGGCCTCAGGTATGCTAGGCAAGCAGTCTACAAATGGAGCTGCGGCCACAGCCTTTTGAAAGCTAATTTGAAGACAAACATCCATGGCCTCCAAATTTGTCTCCCCTAAGTGCTTTGTGTCATGTTTCAGCGTCCCTAAGGGAGTGTATATGGAAGCAGAAGGGGCCTCACAGAACGAATGTGTGTAACAGAGAGGACTCAACCACTAGGCAGAGCACAGAACTCATGCTAGCTTGTTGCTGTGTTTGGTCCCGCGTCTCCCCAGGACTTCCACAGCTCTTAGCTCTTGTGAGGCAACACAGAAGTCTGTTTGGAACGCAAACACAGATGCATATGGGAAGAGCCACGCTGGGACTCAGAGTAGGACCACTGATAGTGAATTGTAGAATTTCATACATTTAGGATGGGCCCATTGCCAGGTGCACTCTGGGGTCATTTTTTCCCCCTTGTACTTCAGAGCTGAATGAATCAGTGTGAAGTATCATTTTCAACACAGCACTAAATCACATTCCCTTCCTCAAGGGTCTCCAATAACCTCCTATTGCCTCTTAAACAAAACCCAAATTCTCAGTCTGGCATTCAAGAGCCATCAACCTGGAATCATTTATCACGGCTAGAGCACCTACAAAATGCCTCCCACCTTGCATATATCATCCAATTTAATCTTTACAGAGAAGACATGCTATCTGTAATTTGTGGATGAGGCTTAGGAAGGCTCCCTGAGATGCCAAGGCTGGTTCCCAGGCAGGACTAACCTCATACTTGCCTGCCAGGGGTACAGAGGTGTGTGGTATGTGGACTGGTTCTCTGCACAAGATGCTTCCTCTCCCCCCTCCAGCACTCTCCGAGTAACCTTATGAAAGGATCTCAATCTTTTGAGACATGTCAATCCTGAACCTAAAATGAGAGCTTTAGACGGACTTCTTAGAGAAAATATGACTCTCGCGAACAATGCCTGCTGGCCTCTATTACACCAAACAGCATAGTCTTCCCAGTGTTTGTTTCCTGGGTGTGTGACTTGTAGCTTCAACGTCGTCCACATTGCCTTCAGGCTAGGGCCAGGTCTTTTTTACTACCTTGCAGTGGTCATGTCAGGTCTGTAAGCTTGACGGCTATGCTTCTGCTCTTAACAAAAGAACTACATATACCTCTGTTCCTCACGGATTAGGGAGGAACGCTGTAGAGTAAGCTACCACATCGGAGGGGAGGTCGTTCTGATCATGTTATCTCAAATAACAGGTAATCAGGGGAAGACAAAGCCTGAGACTTCAAATCCTACCCTATAACCATGCGCTGGTGATGCCCCATTTCCTGAGGTATTACTGAGGTTTCTGCCCAGGGTTTGTGTCTGTTTCCTGGAGGTTCGCTGCCTTGTATGCACAGCTACAGCTCTTTTCCCTGGTTGGTCTTCTGCCTGATTCACATACAAGGTCTCCATGCACATCCCGCTCCATCTACTTTATGGCACACACTACCACGTGCCCCAGAGGAATGTGAGTAACAAGAGGCTGTGCATCCATTAGCATGAGCAACATGCTTCATGTTTCTTCTGCTGGTTGTAAAGAGGAATTTGTAGTGTTCTTTTCTAACATGCACTTTCTGTTCAAAGTCTTCCTTGAAGATCTATTACGGTCAGATTCGCTAGGGAATAGCCACAAGTGGAAAAAAGGTTTAGCACAATATCTAGGTGGGAGCTATCCAATATAAGGACACAGAGTTAACCCACTTCATCCAAGAATTCATATGATATGACCAGGGTCTTTCTATAGGGACTCTTGGCAACCCTGGGTCAGGAAACCCAGTGTGGCAATGGCATGGAAAGGCAGCTTCCAATCCCGAGAAGCACTAGCATGAATGAGCCAATGCCCAATGCCAGGAAAGCCCCTGGGAACCAACTGAAAAAAAAATCAGTCCAGCATAGGCCAGCCCAGAGGCGATTCACAGTGATGTGCATGTTGACAGGCTTTCTTGTGCAGGCTTGTCAACATGGCCTGGCCATGCTGTGGTGATTCGTATATGATGAAGTGGCTTTCAGCAATCATGTCCTTAAAGAACAGTTCTGAGGGGCTTCAGTGGGGCACATGGCGTTTCCTAAGCACTGCCACAGTGGAAGAAGACTTATACAGCAGAACATGGATGCTTCTGCTTCCTCTCATCCCATGAAAGGGCGGTCTGGAAGACAAGTGAGGGCCAAGGCTGTTTGTTTTGAGGCGGCATAAGTGGGTCTGAGGAGTGGACCGAGAAGTGTGGCCATCCGGAGCTGACCTATAATGAGAGGCTTGTAATACAGGGCTCCATGCTGTCTGACAGGCAGTCTAGGCCAGCCACCTCTTAGGGAAGCAGAGTCTTGCTGCTATCTAGCACTGTGATGTTCATCTACCTACAAACTGTTCCTTCCTACAGGCCGTGTAGCTACGTTTCCCTTGGGGAAAAAGGCTCAAAGAATCCGACTCTTATTCCAACAAGTATATATCCCTTGTCAGCAGAGAGGGACATTGAGGAGTGTGCTCAACATGACTCAGTGTCTGCCATCTCTCTATACAGAGAAGGAAGTGGAAACTTCATATGCTCTCTAAGAACTTAAACTTCAGAGGTCCCACCTCCTTAGCCAGGGACCTCAGAAACTTTCAGAAAGAAACGAGGAGAACCTCTATCCATTGCCTGTAATTCCAGGCTTTGATGCAGTTAGAGAGTGTCCTGCTATTCTCAAGCAAAACTCTAGGAAACCCAGGAGCCCCAGGATTCCAGTTTCATGTGAAACCAAGACTTGTCACTTGTGACTTTTAACCAGCGAAGTCACAAAGAGGAACCTGGACAGGAGGCACTTCACGGACCCCACCCCCTTCATTTCATCCCCAGCCCCTGCTCCTGCACTGTCCTGGGACCCAGTACCAGCTGTATTTCATCTTCTCTGCTCTCCCTCCTTCTCTCCTCTTCCCTTTCCCGCAATGGGGATTGAACCCAGGGCTTTGTGCCTGCCAGGCAAGTATCCCAACAATGCCTCTAACTTTAGCTCTGTTCTTTCTTATAATTCAACATTCTGAACTCTCTCAAAAAATTATAGTACAAGGTGGACACTAATAAAGTCCAATTACCTCCTGGATTTTATTCTCTTTAATTCCTATATTTTTCTGTCTCAAATAACACCCAAGGGAATGTTAGCTCTGGGCAGACAGGACATGTTCTGTCAGGTAACTGCTATGTTCCCAGGCCAACATCAAGTACTGGGCCTGCTGGTCAACAAGTGTTTTTTGAATGAACAGAGAATGCATAAACGAATAATGAGGGAGGGATTGTGGCTCAGTCTCTGGGAAGAGCCAGGTTAAAATGAATCGGTTGGCGCTGCTGAAGCCTTTGCTCTTATGTGCATGAATAGAGGCAGATGCACAGAGAGCCAGGCAGACAGGAGAGGACTTTGTGGAGAGGAGAGAAAACACCAGGGAGAAAGCTTATTTTAGGATGAATGGAGAGCTTTGCCTGAAGCAGAGAGGTGCTGAGGAGGGAAGGAGGCTGTGGGAATATAAAACAAAACCTGGCAGGGGTGTGAAGAACCCTCTGTGAACCTGGAACCAGAACATAACTATTTCCACGTGTGGCACCAGGATGATGCTGGGTGTGGATGCTGTAACAAAGTGCTTCCTTTACACTGCTGGACTTTCCACGAGTGGGTCTGCATATTTAGGAATCTGGCCCCTTAGATGTCACAGAGGGGTGTGAGCAAAGCCTTTCACCTCACAATCTACAGGGACAGCAATTGTTTATATTCTCAGGGGGAAATTTTTTTTATTCACTATTTAGAAACCAAAGCCGACACTTTCGGCTTCACAGGTCTAAGGACGAGGGTCTCTGCCCTCAGCCAAGAATCCCTGGGCTCTGAATTACCGTTTATATCCCCTTTCCACTGAAAGTAGAAACAGCAATGTTTTTATTGGTACCTTATAATGTTTTTATATGAGGCACCTAAATCTTCTCTTCAGATACCGATCACAGCTGTAAAAGGTTTCATTATTATTTGTAGGTGGATGCTAATTTTCCCCTTTATATTTTCACAAAGAAAACACAATAAAGGGGGTTTTATTAATATTTATAGCCCCTGTTCTTCTGATCTGTGACAAACTGCAGAAAGGTAATATTCTAAGCATGCCTGATGTATAAAACTCTTTGGCCTGTGATTTACGGGTGGTCACACTTCCCAAGTGACAAACTTCTCTGCCTGGTTATTGCCTGGGATGACCCTGAGGGGAAGAGACCCCAGCCATAGGTTATTTCCTGTCAGTGATGTTTATAGCATACGTGGAAATTTCTGGAAGCCGAATAGCATTTTTTTTAAGACAGTAAAAGCTGATGATTTGCATCTGAAAGGAAGCAGTGTCATCATGAGACAGGGAAGAGAGGACACGGTAGGAAATAGAGCCGAGACCCTGAGCCCAACAGCTTGTTCCAGGCTGAGGACAGCAGGAGGGTGGGTAGGCAGGCAGGATGAAAGCCAGGGCTGGGGATTCAGGCCTCAAGCCAGTGGCTGCAGCCTACCTCGGGGCTGGAGCAGTGCGGATGCTTGCTGCCCTCGCTCTCGCTCTCGCTGGAGCTGCTCTCCGTCTCGGAGTCGGAGCCGGAAGTGCTTTCTGAGTCGCTGGAGGAGCTGCTGCCACCGCTGCTGCTGCTGCTGCCGCCCTTGCTGGATGGCGCAGAACCTCTACAGTTGGTCTGCTGGACCACGGAGCTGCCAGTCCACCAGGCCCCCCAAGAAGGAAAGGGAAAGAAAACCAAATGAGCAAACAGGAAACACCAACAGGCTGCCATCCTGGCAAAGGAAAGGGGAGGCACAGACTGAACACATCTGTCAAACAGGACCTGGACTCGGGACAACCATCAAGGCCCAGAGCAGCCAAAATCAGACAAAATTAGACTCAGAAATAAACTGAGAGCGAACAGTGCCCACTGGGCACTGGGCACTGGTTTGATGCGTGGCTACTTAGAGGGAGGTGGTGTGGTACCGTTGGCTTATTTCAAGGTCGCTGCTGTTCTGAGAACAGCTTTTCAAATGCATGTCTGACTCTAAAAACCCATACAGATTCAAGAGAATCCAAAAACCTCAGAATATTTTGCAAACTGTCAAAAAATAACTTTCTGTTTTTGCTTTAGAGGAAAATGTCTAATGGCAAGGAAACTGCAGAAAGGCCACAGGGTTCTGCTGTGAGCCTTCATGGCTGCTGGAAGCTTCCACAGATGTGGGGACTGTCAAAAGTTAGACATCTTGCTTCTCTCTTTGTTTTCCACTGTAGCGTCCAGTGCTGTGGTAATTATGGATGTTGGCATGGTGTGTGAACAGTAGCTTTTGAGCCCATGAAAGAACTGATGATGCTTCACAACATTAAAAAAAAAATCACTCCTATAACAGGAAGGAACGGCATCTTCGGCTGACACCTGATAGTTAAGACACGTGCTATAATCTGCCATGTCCTCTCTATATTTTCAACAGGAAAGTTCAATCCGTACTTTCAAATGGTAACTCACCAGCCACAAAAATTTAGTTATCACACGTCCAAAGAGTGCATAAGTCAAAAAGAAAATGCCAGCGCTCACATATTATTCAACCTTTTCCAGGCCATCTACGTAACTTGAACTGAAACATTCACGGATGTGTCTCTCTGAGGTTAAATTCTAAACTCAGAAAATGCTGGTCACTTTTTTAAGTGCTGAGTTAGCAAAGAGTTGCTGGGCACTTCCCAACTGTGACCACAGCTTCAGCAGGACTAACTTCTATGGAGGATGTAACTTTTGAGCTCCTTAGGGTTATGGTTTCAAGTGCCAAGAAGGCTGGACATGGTATAGGACCCCTTTCACCCATCCCTTAAATCTCAGAATTTTGTGTAAGGGTAATTTCACAAATTCCCCTTTGTGGAGGCTGGGAGGAGGGAAATACTATAGTCTCTGCTTCTCTTATAGAAGCCACAGGAATGAAGCCATCTTGGGGACTCTGGCAATAAAAAGCACCTTTCTGAATGTTGGAGTTAGGGGAAACTGGAGTTCAAACATAAACAACTCCATTGGTTTTCACTCCTTCCTGCCAGTGTCATGCACCGACCATCCACATATACTATCTGCCCAAATCCTTCAGCATCAGACAAGCACAGGCTCAGCTGTCTCAAGGCCTGTCTCAGCTGCAGAGATTTTTGTTTTCATCCTCTCATTGGTGTCTGGCATTGGGGAAAGATTTTAGATTTTGAGACAGAGAGGTGAAGGAATAGTTCATGCTCAAAGGACTAAAATATATCTTTTTCCTCAGGATGAAAATCTACCTTTCAGTTGGCTGAATGGAGGTGTGTGTGAAGGGTGGGGCAGGACTTGGATTCAGCTAACATAAACATCTGGGATCCACAGTAATAGTTTTTTTTTTTGGGGGGGGTGGCCTCCTAAAACACTGGGATGGACATACAGACACACACACACACACACACACACACACACACACACACACATATGAGGGACCATGCTACTAGACAGGCATAAGAACTAATAAGGTCGAATGAGCTCACATCCCAGGAATTGCAGAGATTTGAGACCGGTAGGTGTGGAGCCAGTCCTAACTGTCTCTGTACCTGGTCTGGAACTTGTAACCATGACACCCCACTGAGAGGACCATGGAGGCTCAGTCACATAGTGTAACACCTGGAGTTCTTCTCTATGCTAATGAGGTATCTAGAGAGCCTTGAGTCTTCAGTCAGTGACCTTCCCTTCCTGGGTATTAGTTCCCCCCAAAAGATATATAATCCCTGAGTCACTCTGAATAAAATGTATGTATATACATCCATCAAATAAAGCAACATGAACAAGCAAGGATTGTCTCAAAGAACTGCTTCACTAAGGACCACCGCGGGGGAAGGCCTTCCATTAAAGAGATGCTCCCAAGGAAGGCTTTCTCTCCTCCAGCCCCTCCAGTACACTTGACCCTGGCTCCCAATCAGACTGGATTCTGCTCATCCTGGGATCCCTCTCTCCATCTCTGCCTGTTGCGTAGGCACCCCAAGGGAAAAGACCTCGGACTCCTGGTTCCCAACTCCCTCTCCCAGTGGTAAGCAGCACCCAGGTACCCAGAGTGGATCCTGGGAACCACTCTTCACTCTCCATTTCAGACTTTGTCCTGTATCCTTCTGGTACTTCCCCAACCCTCAGCAGAGAGATGGGACACAGTACAACAGACAGACACACATACACACACACACTCAGACACAGATACATACACACACACATACTCAGACACACACAGAGACACA